AATGCAATCAATCAAGTGAGACTATATACCGCTAAAAAATTGTGTTCTAAACTGGCCCGTTTTACAGCGGATAAACTTTTTACAGAGACTGTCGCGCGACAACAACCTTAATTGTTGGAATTTTCCGACGACACATCATTTAATTTATTTGGCAAGGCGACAGTTGTTTTCTTTATATTTTGAGTGTCTATAATCATTATTTGATTTGTATCGAGCCAATAGTCACTGTATGTCAGATTTTTTCTGGCACTCTTCGAGGGACTGCTGGAGAGTTCGGAAGTTAAGGAACATAAGACATCTGAGATTTCACCAACAAGAAATTATGGAAATTACGTTATAAATGTTGTAACTGAATTCGCAGGAATTGATGGGAAATCAATTTTTTTCTTCTGTGAGATTTCCCTTTCCAGCTTGATTCTTGGTTAAACTATTGATTTGTTGAATTGATGGATAACTCATGTAAGAGTCATTGTATTTATAATAGATGTATTAAAGAGAAACTACATGAAGCATGTGAGCCGTTATTTGTACTGAATTCTTTAAGACCCTTTTCTTCCTTTCGTATTCGTATCTGTTCCTCTTCTGTTTAACGAATATACTGAGTTTAGTTTTAATATCGTCTTTAAAATTGATATCTAATGGATTTAACTTGAAGGACTCATTTTTTGATTTGTATTAATTCTGATAATTTTTGAAACTTTTGATACTAACGTAATCTCCCAAATGCATCCACGATCAACATTTAAAAACCCAAAGAGATAGACCTGGAAAAGAATAATTTTCATAATTACTCATCCAAGATATGTATGTTTATTAGGGGTTTATGGAATGTTCCATATATCACGCATTGCTACCTTATAAACGTGACACTGCTCAACAATTTCGAAACTCGTCCAGTCTACACCATCGATGGAACGGAACCGGATATGGCATTTGCCATAACTAATCGCTATCGAGATATCTTCATGTACGTCAACAACCGCCTCGAATTCGGTCATCTAATCAATCCAGAGACTTACGACCTGAGACGTACGAATCCAGACATATATGAGATTTCCAGTAATAAATTGGATTGGCAAAAGAGATATATCCATGATAATTATAATGATAACTTCAACGTTGATCATAAACCTATTCAGGTATAGTAAAGCAGACTAACCCAATGAAACATGAAACATAACAAATCATTCTGAACATTATTTCAGCCGTGCCCAGATGTTTTTTGGTTTCCTATTGTCAATCTCCGATTCTGTCGAGAATTCATTGAAATTATGGAAACCTATGGACAATGGTCGGATGGATCCAATCAAGTAAGCAATTAATGAATTATATAAATGTGCCGTGCCACTGTAGTGAGTAATTATATTTCTGTACTTTGTCGAATGATTTCTTATCTGAGAATTGGTATTACATATTTACTCAAACTAAAAATTTGGAAAACAGTACGGATAAAAAAATCAGCTGAGTTGTTGAACTAAATTTTTTTAATTCATGTGTCGAGTCCGACCAACCGTTCGACTCGCACATCAACTTCACCTGCACTGATAGAACAGTCACATTCTATCAACTGAACGTAGTCGCTTGAGCATTCTTTTCCCGTTCGTTGATCGCCATTGGACACTCAGTTATAAATACAACAAACAGTACTTCGTACAACTGTTAGCTCAGTAAAGCCTCTTTAATTATGAGCACAAATATAGCGACAATTTTCACCCAAGTGTTATAATACCTAAGTTAAAAATAAGGGTCGAGCAGACCAGCGTGCATGAGGTCGTATTATTATTGCTATCTTTGTTTGACTCATCAGTCGAACAATTCTAAACTTATTAGTTTATCATGCCTATCACGTGCTGAAACCTTCAATAGTGGAGAAACAAAATAATACCATGCTACGGGGTTCCAGGTAGCTTAATGAAGAGCACGCTTGATTACGAATTCGAAGCACCTCAGGTCGAATCCCAATAGGAGATATTTTTTAAATGCTCATTTCCAATGCAGTTCAATTCCCAGATACGCGGTCATAATCTACGCCAAATAATTTATGGAAAAGAATAATGACATTTTTTTCTCATGTATTGTGAATTAATGGATAGTAACATTCACCAATCAGGCAAATCAACCGTGATGTAGCGTAGAAAATCAAGAGGGGGTCAATCACTGGAAAAATTGTATAGCTAGTGACTTGGCTCATGGTTTGAGCGATTTTACATAACAGGGAATAATGTTGGGGTAGGTACTGGAAAAATTAGGGTACCCACTCTCTACCTCGTGTAACTCGGGGTTGTTTGGTCTCTCAATCTTCTGTCATTTTCCGCAGTTTGGTCTTCTTACTTCTTTTCTGAATCCTTTCCATGATCCTTTAGCAGCCTCCATTTCTTCCCTCAATCCTGGGTCCTTTTTCTTCTTTTAACTCCCCTTTTCTCTCAACTACAAATTATTAGTTCCCATCTGGCAAACCGAAATACGAGTGATGGCAGTTACTAATCCTCACTTCTTCCTTTTCCTTCTTCATTTTTCCTCCTTCAGGTTGTATCAGGTAACCAGGAGGGCTTCCTTCGAGATTGATGGGAGGTTCGTTGTGAGAAACCACGGGATCCGTGAGTGTTGCTAGAATTCTTTGGGGGGAAGTTTTGTGAGAGGAGCCCCATTCGTCGCTACGAAGTCTACGAGCTGAAGAGCTCTTCAGTGAATAAAGGAGCAGGGGATATCTAGGAGAATGGCTTGCCCAGCGGCCACCACTTAAGCTAATATTATTATTATTTTTAATGCATATTTCGGGTGAAAGAGGGAGGGCGGCTTAGAATTCTACCTCATCACAGCTCTAAGCCTAGTTGAAATCATATGGACTGACCTGAAATAAAGGTATAATTTTCTCGCTAAAAAACGGTATCCAACGCTGAGCTCCAGTTCTAATTCCCGCCGAGCTTTATTGCCGACCTTAATCAGCCATGTTGATTAATGTGAATCCTTCCTTGGCTAGAAAAAAAAAACCGCATTTATTTTTCACCTGCTATTACATTGGGAACATTATTTTAAATGAAAGTGAAAGAGTAGTTGCTTTTTTTGCATTATATTTTTCCGTACTGTTTCTCACGATTTCTCATCAGAGAATTAATACTATATACTTCCCAAATTCGAAAATTCGACAATCACGGCAGAAAAATAATATCCGAACTGTTGGGCTGAATTTTTTCGCTCGGGTGGTTGGCCAATTTTCGTCTTCGGCACGAAGGCCAACTGTACACGAGTAAAAAAACCGCGGTCCCTATAGTCCGGAAATATACTATTACTAAAAACTATCAAGTTTTGAATCTTTTTGTGTTGTCAAACGTATTAATTTCAATACATTAATCGTCTATAATTGTGAGTATTATTTCATGCTCATAAAATAATTCCGATATGTACCATTTGAGGAGAAGTTTAATGGAAACAATTCATAGGATTTCAGATTGCAAGGGGGATATGAAAATGTGCCCACCCGCGATATCCATATGAACCAGGTGGACTATGAGCGACAATGGTTGTATTTTCTCAAGGAGTACGTCAGGCCGCTGCAAGAGCTCGTCTTTATCGGCTATTTTCACGATGTAAGCATTTATCTTTATAAATATCAATACGGGATTTTCGTAATTTCAGGATCCCAGACTAGCTGGCGGGTATAAAGCGGTTCCAACACGGGATATACATATGGGACATTCCATGTCAACTCAGCCACCCGGATTTTTTTTTGTCCCCGAAAAATTATTAGCCACCATCATTTTGAAGTACTATATATAGATGACAATACCCTAAAATTTTTGTCCCCTACCATCAATAATTCTCGAGTTAATCCAAATCAAACTTGAAATTTTCAAAAAATCATAACTTCTGAATGGTGTATCGGATTCAAACGAATAAGAAACGAAATTTTTTGTTTTTGAGGGTACTTTTCCAAAAAAAAAATAGTTGAGAGTCCTGGGAATCATCCAAAGTCGATTTTTTGAAGAAAAAATCTGTTTTTATTTTTTTTATTGAAGAAGGCCATTCGATATTCAATCCGAATATTTTTTTTTCAGATTGAGATATATATATGTACCTCAGATTTTTTTTTCAAAATGCGAGACAGCCTGGGTAAGCGGGAATAATTATTTTTTCTGCCAAATTTTGAGTTTTTGCAGTTTGTCCAACCAGGATATATTACTGCGGTCCTATAGGAATGATATTTTTCAACATTAGATGATTTATCATCCCCATGATCTACTAGAACTGATCATTCGTGGATAATTGAAAATATGGTGCATTAGCCAAACGAGCGCGCACGACCTTCGTATGAATAACATCGTCGTGACCAAGCAAACTGGTGACAATGAAACTATTCATTCAGTGTTGATCTACATTATGATAAAGGATATATCTCACGGTCGGCAATCAAATTTAAATTCTCCAATGTATTAATCTACATTCATACCAAAGAGCGAATGAACAAAAGAAGCTCTTCATTCTTCATCGATTCGTCATGATCATTGCCTAATCAACCTTTGAATTAGTAAGTTCATTATTACTTTCAAGATAAAGTGAAAAAATCAGTGCAGGCATCATTTACGTGCAATAAAATCGCATAATTGCGGGGTATCCATTTCAGAGATTAATTTGGATTGTTTTGCCTTTTTCCCCCATCAAGGTGAGGAGTCTTTTTTACTTTAAACCTCGTCATGATTCGACGATATTCGTGAGATTAATTCACTTGTATTTGGTAGAATGCCGCGTACCGATAGATGTTCGAATCCTATGAAAACCACTGCTAAGAAAGAAGACATTGGATTAAATTTACGTACAATTTCACCAGCAATACACGCAAAGTTCCCCTTCCTACCAAGGACTGCGCAAATTTGCAGTCGTTGTGAATACAAGGCTCGAAGCTACATCAGACCCTCATCTTGCCCTACTTCCATACACCAGCAACTAGTACCGACTACCGAGCAACTTTCACGTGCAAAATCCGTTCTTCAGTTATCGATACCTCACAGCGAAGAACACCCTTTATCTGATTTCTGCTCTGATGTCGCGAACAGTTCTTTGCGATCAGGTCGATCGTTTCGCCTTGACGACACAGATAGCTCAATTCAGGACGAATTCCAAGATGACACTTGATTCTGCAGCTCCCCTATGGATGAGGATTCGCAGAGCAACCAAAGCGACGAGGGGCAGTCTCCATTGAAAAGATATCGGTCTGAGAGAGAGTCGGAATTAGATGAAATGTTGGATGGCTTGAAGGCTAAATTCAACGATTTGCAGACATACTCCGAGCGCTTGCAAATTTTGACAGTTGCCCCGCAGTCGTGGAGTGCACGAAAGATCGCTTCCGAATTCGATACATCGAGGTATACGGCCGGAAAAGCAATACTTCTGAGAGAATTGAAAGGGATGCTTGCTTCGCCAACTGCAAAAGCTGATCGTTCACTACCAGGTGAGACTGTAGAGAAAGTCCGCAGTTTCTACATGGAGGACAGTCGGATAATGCCAGGGTTCAAAGACAAACTATCCGTTAAAATCAATGGAGAAAAGAGGGTAGAACAGAAACGTTTGATTCTAGATAATTTGACGGACCTTCATAGAGAGTATAAAACCGCGCATCCAGAGGCTGCAGTTGGTTTCAGTAAGTTTGCCGAGTTGAGACCAAAACAATGCGTACTAGCAGGGATGAGTGGCACTCACACCGTGTGTGGTTGTACGTACCATCAGAACTGTAAATTGATGTTGGATGCAATCAACATTTCAACATTAACTAGAGATTGGAAATGCCCGGTCAAAGACTACAAGGATTGCCTCAATAGATTAATGTGTGCCAATCCAACAGAAGCTTGTCACTTGGATAAATGTGCAGATTGTCCTGGGGTTGAACCACTGTCACTGGAACTAAAGAAAGTCCTGTCCAGTGCTGTAGTTCACATCGTTAAATTTCGCGTGTGGCAGGGTACGGACAAATGCACCTTACAGACACAAGAACTTCCAATGAACGAATTCATCGATTTACTTGCTGAACGATTGAACGCGTTGAAGCCTCACCATTTCATCGCTAAGAAACAGTCAGCTTTTGTGAAAGAGCGAAAGGAAAGTTTGGTTGAAAGAGAAGTGCTGGTGCACTGTGATTTCGCTGAAAATTACCCTTTTGTTGCTCAGGATGCTGCGCAATCTTTCGACTATAATAATTACCAGTGCACAGTTCACCCTGTGGTATATTATTATCGTGAGCAAAATGAAATTCAGCATAAGAGTTTGGTAGTTCTCTCTGATTGTCTTGTTCATGACACGGCTGCTTTTCATTCAATACAGAAGATTCTAGTGCAGCAGGTGAAGAAGAACTGGAATGGCGTGACGAAAATCATCTATGTCACAGACGGGGTTGCTCAACATTATAAAAATCGGTTCCAAATGGCCAATCTCTTGAATCATGAACATGATTTTGGCTTGGCAGCTGAGGCACATTATTTTGCAACTGCCCACAGTAAAGGAGCGTGTGATGGAGTAGGCGCAGTGTTCAAAAGAGAAGCCAGACGTAAAAGCCTCTAAATCACCAATGCTGACCCTATCCTCACACCAGATGCTTTGTTTCAATGGTCAAAGGATCATTTTCAAGGGATGGGAATTTTTTTCTTCGCGAAAGAAGACCACGAAACTGTCAAAGCCGAATTGAAGTCAAGATTTTATTGGGCTAAAAAAATTCCTCGTATCCGAGGGTAACATTGCTTTATTCCGGGATTGGAGAATCGTTTGCGCATCAAACGTTATTCTGTAGCAATGGATGAGGAAGTTTTTCCCAAGGTGAAGCAGCAGAAGCAACGAAAGCAACGTTCTGGACACTAATCGAGGTTCCAAAGAAGCGACAATTTTAATAACGTGTTATCGATGATACCAGAGAATATAACACTTGTTTTTGCCATCAGAAGAATTCTTGCCACTTCAAAACCTATTTAGGGCGTCGTTGATAGTTCGCTTTCGTCCAACAGAAAAAGAAATTGATTATTTATGATTTTGTGGGGGAATAATGACGCACCATGGTTGGAAAATCTGCAAAAACCCAAAATTTGGCAGAAAAAATAATTATTCCCGCTCACCCAGGCTGTCTCGCATTTTGAAAAAAAAATCTGAGGTACATATATATATCTCAATCTGAAAAAAAAAAATCGGATTGAATATCGAATGGCCTTCTTCAACAAAAAAAATAAAAACAGATTTTTTCTTCAAAAAATCGACTTTGGATGATTCCCAGGACTCTCAACTTTTTTTTCGGGAAAGTACCCTCAAAAACAAAAAATTTCGTTTTTTATTCGTTTGAATCCGATGCACCACTCAGAAGTTATGATTTTTTGAAAATTTCAAGTTTGATTTGAATTATCTCGAGAACTATTGATGGTAGGGGAAAAAAATTTTAGGGTATTTTCATCTATATATAGGACTTCAAAATGATGGTGACTAATAATTTTTCGGGGACAAAAAAAAATCAGGGTTGCTGAGTTGACATGGAATGTCCCATATGTGTTCGGTTTTCTACCGAATTTCCTTACTCTCGCACACACACATACACACACTCATGACCCACTCATCTAATTGACTCGCTCGCTCACCTCAGATGACCAGTGGCCTTTTACCTCTGCCACCTGAGGCGCCACTTGATGGACAGGTGTAATTGACCATCGCGATGATCGACACCTCCCACCTTGCGGCTTATCACTCTCTCTCATTTGCATATCAACCGTGAGAGTGATTACGCGCTTTTCTCCGAACTTCTCTTTTATGAGATTAATTGACCAGCTCATTATTAGTACTTCTCGAAAATACCTTTTCAATTCTTTGAATTGTATAGTGTTTTCGCTCAGCTCGCTCTATTGTGACAAAATTGTGTGTTATTAGTGACTTTTTACTAATTAAAATTGACTCTTTCGACCAACGCCACGCGAGTGATTTTTTTGATCCTCTCCACACTCTCTTGTAATCTGAAAATATCTAGTCCGTCTCCTAAAAATATCCCCAAAACCAGATCCCGTTTCGAACAATATGAATCAAGTCGGTTTTGATGGTATGTGGCATGAATTCCTTCGAATTTTTGTGAATCCATTACAACGAATTGGCTTTTATGGACACAGCGATTACGTAAGGTTTTGTAAAGATTGTGAGATATTTGTGTGGGGATACTTTTTAATAGATAAAAACAGCTAAAAGGTTCTCTGAATAAACACTTTAATCACTAGGAGATACTTACAATGTTATTGGTATAAAAAACACTCACTTAAAATATACATATCGATATAAGCAAATTCGAAACCGTCTCTTCGTCTAATGCCTCACTCAGGACTTCGTCACCAAAAATGCTCTACCTCCTCTCGACCTCTCACACATTGACCGTTTTTCCTTCGATCTCCCATTTTTCTCCTCTCGGCTACTACCGCTACCACCAGCCACCCTTGGGCCTCAGTCGCCAGTTTCATCTCGGGTAAAACCCAAAGATTCCTATTCATATTCCTAGACTTAAACTTACGTCCCTTCTTAACCCTTAATAAAATACTCCCATAAACTCGAGTAATAATTATTTGGCCCGACTGCCTCAACT